GATAGATAGATAGATAGATAGATAGATAGATAGATAGATAGATAGATGATAGACATTTTAAAAGTAAAATTACAAACTGGGTGGTGGTGGTGCACACTTTTAATCCCAACACTAGGGAAGCAGAGGCAGGTGGATCTCTGAGTTCGAGGCCAGCCTGGTCTACAGAGTGAGTTCTAGAACAACCAGGGCTATGGAGAGAAACCTTGTCTCAAAAACAAGAGACTCTGTTCCAACTATGGGTGAAGACGTTGCAATAACCAACTATTGACAGAAGATGGCGCCAACAGCCTAAGCCTAAACACTAGGATGTTTGTGGCCATTTGAATTCAAATACCTCTGAAGACATTTGATTTATAGGTGTTGTTGTGTTTTTTGTTTTATTTTTTTTTCCGAGACCTTATCTTGCTGTTTAGCCAATGTTGATCTCAAACTCCCAGGCTCAGGCAATTCTCTTGCCTCAGCCTCCTGAATAGTTTGGACTACCATGAATGCCACAGTGCCTGTTACAAACTAGAATGTTACAGAACTGGCAGAATTTGGTAAAAAGCTACAAGCAGGAACCAAATATATTAATGTGATTGAAGAGCTTTAGGGTTTTGGCACGACCGTTGCATGAACATAACAAAGAATACATTCGTGTGAAATGTGATTGTCTGTGTTTTATAGAAAGGAGCATTGGGCTAGGAGGTTACCCACAAGCCATCTACAAAAACAGAGATAGAAGCAATTAAACCTTCTCATACATCTGTCTCAGCACAGTCTAAGGCAGCGGTTCTCGACCTGTGGGTCATGACCCCAAAAGACCATGAGGAAATAGAGATATTAACGTTACAATTCATAGTTGCAAATGTACAGTTATGAAGCAGCAACGAAATGATTTTTTGGTTGGGAGTCACCACAGCATGAGGAACTGTATTTTAAAGGGTCTCAAGCACTGGGAAAGTTGAGAACCATTGCTCTCAGGCAAGAGAGAGGCAAAATGTGTGTCCGTGCTTCAAAGGAGTTCACAGGTTCCCAGAGCCTCCGGAGAGTGAGACCAATAGCTCACTTAGGATTCCTGGCCGCTACCCCCTGGTTCTCTAGCACCCGCCTGAGTGGCTCTTCTGTTTTATTTCGCAGGGAGTTCTGCACTTTGACCGTGCGCCCCTTTGAGATTGGCTAGCGGGCTTATAATGCCTTTCTTCCGGAAGGCCAGAGTGTCTGCGGGACTCCTCGGAAGAGTCTGGTGACAATTCTGGAGGGAGTTGACAGTGTCAATGAAGTCGTCTATGTAGGGTCACCCAGGAGGCGCGTGTGACAGACAGGAGTACGCCGACACTATTTCCTGAGTAAGAGAAAAAGTGAGGGAAGCTGGTTGGGACGTAGCGACAGCATGATTTCACGCGCGGAACGCTGAAGGTTGGACCTCAGGAGAACCCAGTGGAAGGGAAAAGGGAATCTAGCACAGCCGTGAGCCACAGATATCTGAGCGGGCTGTTTCTGGGCCTTTCATTCCGTCTGCAACTGTCCATCTGTGGAGAAATGAATCAGGAAAATGTGACTTTCTTTGTGGGGGTGGCAGTGGGGTGGGATTGGAGGGGGAATTCATTTTCTAAAACTCACTCGGCCATTCAAATGGGGTTTAGAAAAATTCGTTAAAATAAAAATCTAAACTTAAAAAGCGAAATTCAAACCTAAGTCTACAAGAAAATCCCAAGTAAAGAGACAGACATCCCAGGGCAGGGGAAATCAACCACAGCAAAACGAAGGCTCCGTCTATTCCAGGTCGTGGGTTTCCAGAATTCTTCTGTAAATTTTCCTAAATCTTGCTATTTTTTAAAAAAAAAAAAAAAACAACTGATTTTCGTTATTCTGGGGAGGGGGATGAACAGTGTGCAAGCAATCGAGTTTTGAGAAAAGTCTTTCAAAACCGGTGCCTCCCACTGGGAAACCTGTTTAAAGAGTAGAACCCTAATTAAGACAGATGGCCCTAATTTGTGGCCGCCATGATCCCATGCATCAGAAAGAAAAAGAAGCTATGAATTTTTTAAATGAGAATGTAGGATTTCCCCCCCCCCAAAAAAAAAATCAAAGCAATCTACAGATGTGGTCTTTCGAGTACAAACAGTGCCTTGGCTCCCTCTATACTCGAGGCCATTTGCCAAATGTCAACGAGGTGACAGATTCTTGAGTGCCTTCAGAAAGTCAGATCTTGAAGTCTGCGCACGTTGAATTCTGTCCGGGTGCAGGTGAAGCAGATTTCCAGGATGGGTGGCCGGACCAACCCGCAGACTGCACAATTTTGCAGCGCGTAGACTCTGCAGCAGAGACCCCCGGGGTGAATAAGGACCGAATAGAAACAGTTTGAGAGGCTGTGTGTCAAGGTAGCGTGGCCGAGCGGTCTAAGGCGCTGGATTAAGGCTCCAGTCTCTTCGGGGGCGTGGGTTCGAATCCCACCGCTGCCATGATGTTTTGATACTTTTTTTAAGACAAAGAGCGCCATTTAGTATCGGTTTATTCAAAATCTGGAATTCTGATTGACAGCAGGTGGCGCAGTAGACCAACCCATTTGGAAAGGCCGCTACCGTTGAGAACAACAAAATAGGTGTTAGGATTCCGAATGTGTCATTAAACCGTTGAAGGTAATTCTCAAAAA